TAATTACAGACACATATAATAAAAAATAAGCAATAAGACAGAGAAAAATATCATTCTACTGCCAAGAAAAGCAATTACTCAGTTTATTTTTCTTTTTTTAAGTCATAGTTTTCTTCAACAAAGAATATATTCTTGATAATAGTCTTAAAATATATTTATCACAAGTGTTAGAAAATCTCATTATCATGTACTCGAAAGAAGAATTTATTTTCTCTTTAAAAATATTGTAAAGTTATGTCAAAGAAAAATCAAACTTACTTTACGCCAACTCTTTGTGGTAAGCAAAAAAATTCTTATTTTAATTTAATATTCTTGATTAAAATACTACACTTACTAAAATTCAGAATACATTCAATTAAATTTAACGCTGGTGAACTTGTGATATATTTGCGGATATACAAACTTATGATGTACTTAAAATAAATAATATTTACTTGAATACAGTATACATTTTTCTCTGTGTAGTAAATAATAAATTTTGTACATGATCGCAATATGCTTTTAATATATTGTTTAATACATTTTGATTGATTTTTATGTAGAAAGGCAATTCACTGTTAAATTAAATGCCTTAAAATGTTAATTGCAAATTACATTTTTTTTCGAAACAATTATGTTTTTTTTTACACCAATTGATTCCTTTCATTATTTTATACATAAAAATATTAAGATAAGATAATTAAAAAATTAATATTTTACCAGATATTTTACGGTTTATGTAAAATTAAGAAATGATTTCAAGCCTCGTAACTCGGAAAGTACTTAATGAAAACTAACTTAATTAGAAAGCTCTCGAGATGAGCTACAAGAATATGTAGAAGCATATAGGATGTCCCATTTAAAAATTTGGAGGTGACTCTTCAAGGTCAAACCAATCACACCATCTTGTGTCTCCCTCGAAACCATACGAATTTTGTCTCAAACATTTTTTCCTATCTTTTAGACTTTACGAGATATTTCAGTGGCAAAGTTATAAGTATATACAGGGTGTCCCAAAAGTCCCGGACCGGTCGAATATTTCATAAACTATGTACTTTACAAAGAAATGTTTCAGACAAAAGTTGTATGGCTTGAAGGGGGCCATCAGATAGTGGCAATGATTTGACATGGGAGAGTCATTTGAAAGTCACGTGAAGATCACTGTTAATTTCTTAAATGGAACTCCCTATTTTTTATTAAATATTCTGGTAGCTCACGTTGAGAGCTTTCCAAAACACTATAATTAAGTTAGTTTTCATTAAGTACTTTCCGAATTATGAGACTTGAGATCATTTCTTAATTTTACATAAACCGTAAAATATCTTGTAAAATATTTATTTTTCGATTATCTTACCTTAATACTTTTATGTACAAAATAATGGAAGGAATAAATTGGTGTAAAGAAAAAGCATAGTTGTTTTTAAGAAAAAAATATGTAATTTGCAATTAACAATTACATTTTTTTTTAAAAGAACTATGTGTTTTCTTTACACCAATTGATTCCTTTCATTATTTTGTACATAAAAGCATTAAGGTAAGGTAATCGAAAAATGAATATTTTACTAGATATTTTATGGTTTATGCAAAATTAAGAAATGATTTCAAGCCTCATAATTCAAAAAGTACTCATTGCAGGAGTACTTTATTATAGTGTTTTGGAAAGCTCTCGAGATGAGCTACACGAATATGTAATAAAAAATAGGAAGTTCCATTTAAGAAATTGAAGGTGACCTTTACGTCATCTTCAAATAACTCTCCAAGGTCAAATCATTGCCACTATCTGATGGCCCCCTTCAAGCCATACAACTTTTATCTGAAACATTTCTTTCTAAAGTGCATAATTTATAAAATATTCGGTTCTGGACTTTTGGGACTCCCTGTATACAGGGTGATTCAGAACTTATGGTACAAACTTTAAAAGATGGTAGAGCATACTCTAACAATCATTTTTTGTATAAGAAGAAGAACAAGTGCTTTTTTATAGCAATGTTTACAATAATTGCTCAAAATTGCGTCCACAGTAGAGTCAACAGTAATACATGCTTAGCAGCGTCGATGGAGTGATTGGCGTACAATTTCAAAGATGTCAGGTACTTTTCGCACACGTACAGTTGCAACGAATATTCAAGCGACGAGATCCTCAACTGGATTCTCATAAATGAGGATCTTCAGATGTCTCCATAAGAAATACATTGCTATAAAAAAGCACTTGTCAACGACGCTGTAAGTAAACAATTTATCTTTTCTTTCATGTCTATTTCCTGTGTTTTGCCTCATCGTGTCACTTGCGCCCATACATTCCTATACACAAAATGATTGTTAGAGTGTGCTCTACCATCCCTTAAAGTTTGTACCATGTGTTCTGAATCACCCTGTATAGAAGAAGAAATACTTGTAATATCTCTATGTCCACAGGATACATAATTTATCTCAGCAATGTTAAGTTAACACATAGAAAACATTTTAGCAAAGTGTTGACAGAAAGACAGAGACATGTTTGCATTTACATTTGCTTTAGAGAACATAATATATTGTGAAACTATAACGTATCTGGAGTAATAAGATCTAAGTGGACTATGGTCACGCAAGAAGAGCAAACAGTTTGCAGTCACCCAGTAATAACATTCTGTATATAACTAGTATATAACTAGTCCAGAACACGAGCATTTAAATTGGTATCCTTAAACATATGGTATAGACAGTGGAAAAGATATAGATAAAATATATACAGGGTGAGCCATTTTAAGTTACCCACCCCAATAACTTTTTTATTTTTAAATGTGCAACAAAATGTTTCAAATAAAAGTTGCTTGACTTCGAAGGAGACAGAAGATGGTGACAAAAATTTGATTTTGGATAGTCATTTGAAGGTCATATAAAGGTCACCTTCAATTTCTTAAATGGAATCCACTATTTTTCACTCTTAAATGGAATCTACTATTTTTCATATTCTTGTAGCTTATCTCGAGAGCTTTCCAAAACACTATAATTAAATTTCATAATTAAGTTTTCATTAAGTACTTTCCGAGTTATGAGGAGTTTCGAAAAAAATATGTAATTTGCAATTAATAATTACATATTTTGTCTTAAAAACAACTGTATGTTTTCTTTACACCAATTGATTCCTCTCATTATTTTGTACATAAAAGTATTAAGATAGGATAATCAAGAAATAAATATTTTACAAGATATTTTACGGTTTATGTAAAATTAAGAAATTATTTCAAGCCTTATAACTTAAAAAGTACTTAACGAAAAGGTAATTATACGAAAAGGTTAATTATAGTGTTTTGAAAAGCTCTCGAGATAAGCTACAAGAATATGCAATGAAAAATAATAGATTCCATTTAAGAAATTAAAGGTGACCTTTATGTGACCTTCAAATAACTAGGTTTCAAGGTCAAATTTTTGCCATTGTCTTCTATCTCTTTCGCAGTCAAGCAACTTTTATTTGAAACATTTTGTTGTTCATTCAAAAATAAAAAAGTTATTGGGATGGGTAACTTAAAATGGCTCACCCTGTATATATATATATATATTTTTTTTTCGACTACATACTGGCGAAAATAATAATAAAAACATATAAATATAAAACAATTTACATATTATTTGTAAAAATTAATTCTAAATGTGTGAGAGAGTAAAATATCGCGGCATTAAATTAGTTTACATTAGACAGAAGATTACTTTATTCATTAATATTATACATACATATATGCTGAGTTTATATTTAAGAAATATCAATATCTACTTTGATTGTTCCAAAATGTTATACAACATATTATATCAGTGCATCACAAAAGAAACAGGATATCACTTACAAAGAATTATTAATTCAGACCTACAGAAGAGTCTTCTAAAAAATTTCTCTGTTTCTTTCTATCTTACTCATCAAAAACTACATAGGGTGATATGTCACCATTGCATACCTACCCCACACTTATAAACTATTCACGAGATTGCCGGGGAAGCGACAAACGGCACAATTTCATACCCGGCGAGCGATCGTGAACGCGATATCAAAGTAGCAGAATAGTAATTGAACGATGCCAGATACACGCGATTTTGATCTCTTGTTGGATCTCTTCCGTCATAACGCGGACCACCAACACCAATCGGTCGCGCGTTTTGTAGTGCTCGATGTAAATGATGTCAGTCGTAATCCCACATGGTCGCGCGAGTGCTCGAGATATAACGTGTGTCATCTGTAACATTGCGTATAATTGCGCTTACGGGAGTTTCGTTCCCTGTTGTATACACGGATATCTTTTTGTTGATCGATCGAGCGCGGTTTGTAGTTGTTGAAACGAGAAACTCGTTTTACTATTACATGTATTTTACTAGTACATGTATTCGAGAATTTTTGATCGTTATAAACTTTAAAATTGTTTTTGCTCTACAAAATTTAAAGCGATAATTATTTGATATAATTTCGGGTGTGGGTTAAACGCGGAAGTGTTTAATAACACCTCTGTAATTAAATTTCTTATTAAATCGCTGTCTTTGAAGGTAAAACTTAATTAACAGGATAAGATAGGTGCATATATTATAGAACAATTACTCGAGAGAAAAATAAATAAGATGGGTATATTATCTGGGGAATTTTAATTATAATTTTGAGGTTTAAGATGAAACGTTATAGTATCACTTAATATTTCTTAAATATATTATCGATTTTATATAAATTTGTAAAGATAAAGCCAGATTGAGTTTAAATTTTTTTAAAAGCAACATATTTCTGTTTATAGATGTTCATATAAAAATTTCAAATATACATTGTTAATACAAATATACAAATATACATATGTTACTAATTTTTCATTATAATTATCTTTTTTCCGTTTTCAATTCTTCTACATTTTGAGTTTAATTTTTAGATGGATAATGTAGACACATACTTATAAACTTTCAATATAAAGTATGCAATAAATTAAATGATATATAATAGTATAAATAATTATTTATTTTAGATTAAAGTTTATTAATTTCTGGATTATGTAATTTAAAAAGAGTGACTTACAATGTGGGCCAAGAAAGATCAAATTAAACGTAAAAAGAATGTTACACAAGCATGGAAATCAAAAGACTTGCAGAGACCACCGATAAAATTCCGGAGTTTTAAAGTTATATTAAAATATCTGAAGTTATATTGTCAGTATTCCAGTTTAAGCAGTTTAAAATATCTCGCTGATCCTCAAAAAAGTTGGTTTGAAAGGTAACGCGTCACATTTAAAATTATATTTATTTATAATACAATTATCGAATTTTGTGTATATATATAGAAAAATCTCAAAATATATATAAAATTTTTAAATGAGTATAAATAAATTATATATTTATAAATTATATAATATTTTTATTGTGCTTATAAATTGATATAATTATCATTAAATTAAAATTTAATAATGTATAAGAACTTTTTCGCGAAAATTAACTCTAAATATTATTATTATTAAATTAATGTATCTAAAATATACTGTAAGAGAAAAACTTATATTTAGAGAATTTATATAATATACCTCTCTCCCTCTCTCTCTCTCTCTGTATCATTTTCTTGCAGAAAATATTTTATTTTGTCTTATTTTTCCTATATTTTTATACATATTTATCTAACTTCCATTTCAATTTAATTCTTTATTTTCTTTATTAACTTATTCACCGAATAGAATTTAGTTTCTTCTTTATTTTATTTACAGCTTTAAAGAAAAAGAGAAAATGTGCTGAATTATATGTGATATAGCGGGTTTTTGTATCCGATAAAGGTAACCTTTGTACAATGAAACTTTCCTCGAGCGGGATTTATTCGGATGTTATTTACTCATTTGGCGGTGTAAACTCGCACGCTCGTAAGCTCGGCACGTTAATACGATTATCTGCCCTTTATCAAAGCATTGATAAAAGCGGTTCGCGCAGACTATGCTCGCGGATTAGCCGCGAGACGCTACGGACTCGTACATTACATCGGTTCGCGCGTAAGCGCAACATATGATTAAAGTTACGCGGTATAACGAGCGTATCCTCGTTTCACGGAGAGATTAACGGTATGGCGGAGTAGGGATTCTTGAATTCATAGCGAACCGCACAAATCAGGTCGTCCACAAATCATGACCCTGTTTCGCGAATAAAACGAACGAGCGGATGCAAAAGAGGAAAAAAGAAAAAAAGTATAATATTCCGCAAAACGGTAGAGTCACGTCGCGATGTGGCGACGCTGGTTGATTTAATGTAACCTTACGCGTCATACGTGACGTTAATAGCGCCGTGTGAATACGGTAATGAACGCGTTACGATACGAACGAGAATAAATAACAGAGGCCTGCGAGGTTTTTCTTTTTAAGATGCAATAGTGATTTCCGATGAAATTTTGTGAGCTGAATTCGAATCTGGCCGCCGAATTTGCATAGCACGTCACGTTTTTGGGTAATTTGTAATTGAATGGCTTAAAAATCGCTATTTTGGCCAATTTTATGAATTTATTGCGAGGAAATCAAATTTTTTGAAATATTTCTGCCAATGGCATCGTATAATACTCACTTTCGCCTTTCAAATCCACTTTCGATTACCGCCGCACGATTTTTCTTCGCTGAGATATATAAGTATGACGTTGTAAGAAATTTATGTTAAAGAAAATTTATATAGACAATAAATCAATATGGTAGTTCCATGATGTTGAAAGTTGAAAAGACTGACATATGTCAGATTCGGTTGTCCAAAATAGTATTGTAAAGAAATATCTAATACAGTTGTTACATTTTGATAAATTTTTCTAAACTTTATGCCTTTTTATTATGATTCTATTCGCCATATTGGATGCGCCATTTTTAATTTCAAAAAGTGACAGACGGTTTAAAAATATATATTTTTATCCTAATTTTGATTCGTAGTGAAATAAAGAGGTGGCACGATTGATTTAGAATGGCTTATTAGATCCCTATGCATGACCAATCTTATAACTTGTATATTTAAGCGAAAAAAAATCGTGCGGCGAGAGGGGTAATCAAAAGTGGATTCAAAAGATGAAGGTGAGTACTATACGATGCCATTGACAGAAATATTTCAAAAAATTTGGTTTACTCACAATAAATTCATGAAATTGGCCAAAATAGCGATTTTTGGACTATTTAACTACAAATAACTCAAAAACCTAACGATTTGCTACGCAAATTCGACGGCCAGATTCGGATTCAGCCCACAAAATTACGTCAAAAATCACTATTGCATCTTAAAAAGAAATTTTGACCCCCTTTTTTACAGGCCTGTGTAATTGCTCGACTCGATGCTAATTCGTATCACACAGATTCGCAATCTTGTTTTTCGCATGTATTAAATTACTTTAAAAATGAATGAAACTATTACGATTGCAGGTTTAAAAATGTCGTATATATAATATAGAATTGGGGCAACTATTATTTTCAATAAATATATATTTGATTAAAATATTTATTTGATTAAAATTTTTTAATTTTAATTTTAATTTTAAAATTTTTCAGAGTTTTATGGGTCATAATACATTGCGTAATTACAGCTGGTCTGATATGTATGGTTTATATTTCCTATAAAGAATTTGTGACGTCGCCTATCCTGACTTCTATGGATTCGGATAGTTATGGTACTATCGATTTAAACTTCCCAGGTATGGAGATTAAGCAACTTTCTGAAATTTACGTACAATATTTAGTTATGAAGATTTATTTACTTTCTGATGTAACCATAATTATAATAATTATTTTGATATAAGCTAGTATATGAGCCATAATTTATTTCTGTTATGATTACGATTGATAAAAATATCTTTTTATATAAAAGAAGATTAGTATTATTTTCCTTTAAATAAATAGCTGCCTGAAAAATGTTACTTAAAATTTTATAATTGTAACAATTTACAAAACTATCAAAATTTTACTTTATATCAAGTGAAAGTTTTGAAAAATGAAAGATAAAAAAATAAAAACAAGAACGAAAGAAAATAATTAAATAAATATCAAAAAAATTAGTTTGATTATTGACGAAAACATCTATCAATGATAAAAACATCTTGCATTGTCATTTCTTTATTTTCTTATATACAAACATAAGTCTTCCCTAAAATAAGAAATGTTTTATTTTTGTTGTTACGTACTATACAATGTAAGTCAACAATATTAAGTAAAACGAGAAAAGTTTTTTTAAATAACATTTTATTTATAAATGGAAAAAATTTTTATATTTTGAGAGAAAAGACAATATTTTTTGTCGTTCAATATTTTTTCCAATTTTTCCATCCTACTGCACTGTTGATAAAAAACACACTGATGAATTTCCAGCAATCGCCATTTGTCCCGTTAATAGGATAAGTCGACGATCCGCGATGGAATTGGCGACCGACATGTGAGCAATTTTATATACTAAATAAACGTAAATCGCAATTCGCGTACATTAAACAATAAATGTATTCGCATGAGTAAAGGCGAAATAGTGATGCACATGCCCCAGTCCACACTAACATTTTAAATGCATGTAAATATGATGTTGCTAACAATAAATTGTATCAATTGTACCAATTGCATGACCGATCTGAATTACTCAAAGTTACATCAGCTATTTAACGCATATCATTTTCTCTATGCGCGTTAAAACGATCAATAGTTATCGGTGCAATGCGAGTCCCAAGCACGTATCCGCAAATATCCCAAATATCGGTTTGATCGCGTGAATTACTTTCAGATTACGTCAGCATAAAAGAGATCATATAAATATTTGACAGTGTCGACGATGCCCTATCAATATTACATTATGCATTATTATTAATTGTATTAACCTAAGTTTAATGTGATTGTCGGACTCCTTAACTCTTTTTGTCCCAAATGTCCATAATTTCTTCTCAACTTTCGACGCTGTAACTTTTGACCTGAACGTCGTTGAAAATAATTGAAAAAAAACATTTTTTATAGTTTAAAACCTCCTCTTTCGAATGCCGTGATCAGAATCAGCCTACAAATTGACGGAAAAAAGTTATAACTGTTTTTTTTAAAAAAATTTCAATTTTTTCGACGCCATTTCGCAAAAATCCTATATTTTGACAATGAAAAAGTTATTCCTGACCATCGCAAAATATCATAATCGCATATTTTTTACATGCCCTTTCTTATCCCGTTAGAATTTTTTTGAAAAACAAAATGGCGACTTCAAGATGGAAACATAATATCTAACTAATTTGAGGTTAGGAGTGAGTCATTTTGAGGTTAGGTATTCACAAATGATAATTCCCACTCTTTCATTCAATTTCATCAAGTTTTCAGTCATAGGTGCGAAACGGAAAAATAATCGACATTTGTGCAAAAAAATGCGGAATTCTGTATTGTCAGCGCCATCTTGAAGCCGACATTTTGTTTTTCAAAAAACTTCCAACGGGATAAGAAAGGACATGTGAAAAATACGTGATTACGATATTTTGCGATGGTCAGGAACTTTTTCGTTGTCAAAATATAGGATTTTTGCGAAACGGCGTCGAAAAAATTGACATTTTAAAAAAAAAACAGTTATAACTTTTTTTCCGTCAATTCGTAGGCTGATTCTGATCACGGCATTTAAAAGAGGAGGTTTCAAACTATAAGAAATGTCTTTTTTCAATTCTTTTCAACGACGTTCAGGTCAAAAGTTACAGCGTCAAAAGTTGAGAAAAAATTATGGACATTTGGGACGAAAAGGGTTAAATGCTTTCACATAAATTCTTGAAAAAATTATGGCATTTATATTAAAAATATTAAAAATTTTTGTAATAAGAATTAATTAGCAATACTAATTCTTATTAATTAATCAACAACAAATATTGACTATGTTATCCAGAGGATTATAAAAACACATTGCAATAACACGTAATTGATGGATATATATTCTCACTATAGATGATTATGTAACAATTGATGTGAATTCGTGGTCGATAGGTGCGAATTCATGATTGAGGATGAGTTCACGAACCATGGTGATATTCCTATAGAGAGTTTCGATTGGGATAGGATTAATTTGCCACGGTTGACGTGCGATATATACGGGAAGCTTAATTGACCGTTCAACACATCGGATTCTACTCTGCTTTTTACGATGTCCCGAGTCAATTGGCACGCCGATTATCGTTAATTCGATGCCGCGCACTTGGAACGCAACGAGAACCGATCGATGCATTGCGCATTGATGGAGAGCGTAGAATCAGCGTGGTTACGGCTCATTTAATAGGGCGTTAATGTCCCAAAATCCAGCCGTTTCGCGCGACGCTACATCGTAGCCACCCGCAAACTTTCGTCTCCGTAATGGAAGAGACATTTCCAGAATCGTTGATTCGGAACCGAAACCTTCGTGAAGTTTCGTAGGTGAACTTTCAACGTGAAAGTTTCCACCTCGTTTACGCATCGATTAATACTATTTTATTCTTACCAAATGTGTTGTTTATACATTTGTAACAAACGCTCGTTATTATTTTCACAGTATTATTTACTATAGTTTACTATTATACACTATGTTACTTACAATACTCTATCCAGCATATTTTTAATATATTTAGTATTCTTTTATACGTACATATATGCGGCATATATATATGTTGCGATAAAATAAATGACATAAACAAAAAGTTGCAAGTGCAGTGTCATCTATACACACGTCTTTTATACACAACTATCGCTTGATATTTTAAAGGCAGATTCTCTGGTCAACTTAAAAACGATTTTTCCTCAACGAAAATGTCGAGGCACTAATAGTTTTCGAGTTATAATTGATTGAAAATAAAGAGTTTTTCGCAAACTAAGCCTTATGGGAATAAAATATTAATAAAGTTACATTCTTTAGTTAATTTTTGGTAGAGTTTACTTTAATAGAATTTTAATTTAAGACTTAGTTAGAAAGATACATGATGACAAAAATTGGGAATATGCAAAAAATAATGATCTCCCTCGACATTTTCGCTGAGGAAAAATCGTTTTTAAATTGACCAGAGAATCTGCCTTTAAAATATCAAGCGTTAGTTTCGGGACCCTGTATGTACAAATATGCATACAGGGTGGTTTAAAAGTGGAAACGGTCAATTATTTTCGAAAATAGTGGTCCTGTGGAAAAATGTTTCAGACAAAAGTTGTAGGGTTTTAAGTGACGCATTACACAGTAATATGACTATAACCTTGAAGAATGTTGTTAAGGTCACGTCAAAATCACCTTCAATTTCTTAAACAGAAACCCCTATTTTTTATTACATATTCTTGTAGCTTATCTCGAAAGCTTTCCAAAACACTATAATTATTAGTTTTCACAAATTTTAGAAAAAATATGTAATTGTTAATTGCAAATTACATATTTTTTTCCTCGAAACAATTATGTGCTTTCTTTACACCAATTGATTCTTCTCATTATTTTGTACATAAAAGTATTAAGATAAGAAAATCGAAAAGATAATGGAAAAATGAACATTTTTCTAGATATTTTATGGTTTATGTAAAATTAAGAAATGATTTCAGGTCTTATAACTCGGAAAAGTACTTTTTTATAGTGTTTTGAAAAGCTCTCGAGGTATGTTATAAGAATATGTAATTAAAAATGGGGGGTTCTATTTAAGAAATTTAAGATGACCTTCACGTAATCTTAACAATACTCTTCAAGGTCATAGTAATATTACTGTGTAATGTATCACTTAAAATCTTACAACTTTTGTCTGAAACATTTTCCCACAGGACCATTATTTTTGAAGATAATTGACCGTTTTCAGACTTTTAAACCACTCTGTATAGAGTGGTATATACAGGGTGTTCATTTTAAAACTTTTCGCCTGTTTATTTTATGATTGACTATTTTTTGCAAAAAATGTCAAAAAACGTCAATTGTGTTTTCGAGAAGAACATTTAAGTACATTAAATGCAACGAAATTTTTTCATCCTTTTCATCGGGGTAGCTACCTCTTCAAAAATCTTAAATGGCAATAGAAGTCAAGTGGTATATTATTTTAAAAGTCTTTTGATTCTTGGTACAACTCTCTTTCTCTTTTTTTTTATTTAAATAAATATTTTTCGAGAATTTGCACTTGGAAGTTTTAGGTGCCAAAAATATTTTATACAAAAATTTGGAGTAGAATTTATTTGTCATTTATTATAATAAGTTCAAAATAGTCTCCATTGTTTTCTAAACAATGTAATTAAAAATTCCTGCGAAACAATAAGCATTAAAATACAATTACATTATTTTAATGTACATTAGATTAATGCTTAGAAAATTATACAAGCTTCTCGTGTTGATGGATGGAGAGAATGGTATGCATAAGTAAATTTTTATGACGCCATTAAATATCATCCGTTATATGTACTTATTAAGCTGTTGATTAAATAAGTTTACTAGGGAAGTGTTGTGCGAGTTATTATGGTCGCGTACATATATAAAGGATATGCTTAGATATTATCGTGCACTTATTAAAAATATCTTTGACTACATTACATGATATCTTTGTTTAAAACATACGTGATTTTTTCTGAACTTAGTTTTAAATCAAACGTCACAAAAATGTCAATGGATGAAATCCTCAACTTGCTGAAGCAATTAGGCAATCTTTATGCTTCCAATTTCGTCATGGAAGAAAATCGTGATAAGGAAATCGATCAACTTTTAACGACTTATTACAACGGGTTTTATGACGTTACCAATGTAATGAAAAATGTACGTATACAAAATTAATATTATATTTCAAATTCGACACATTAAAATTCTATCTACAAAATTTCTTTTTTTTATAACTCTCTTGTAATTAAATAACTAATAATTTCATATTTTTTAAATTTTACTGTTAAATAATATAATGATGGAAAATATAATAATTGAATTCAAACTTGTCGAAGATAATTAGATAATTTCTTAAAAAGCATGATTACATTCGATTTTTTTATTTAAGTACTGCCCACATAAATTCAACTTTTAATTCTACTTTTAATTCAACTTTTGATTCTAAAAAATAAAAATCATTTATATACGAAAGCGATTGCAATATTTTATTCATTTCATGGGATATAGTTGTACGTACACATTAAATGCAGAGGTTTCTCGTGGAAATCAATTAAAACGTTATATGCATGATACTTCGCGTGCCGATTGTTGTTTCTGTCGTACGAGTTGTTGTCGGCAATTCATGTGTTGTACGCTTAAATTTTCCAGCTGACACCGCAATGCATGACGATGCTACTGAAGTGTAAACTGCACGGGACCTACAGAAACTGCTCAACACTTTTCGAATTTCGCAAGACGCAAGACGGATTCTGTTGCACCTTTAATTACATACGTGAAAGCGACGACATTCCCACGTGAGTATCCCATGTCTTTAGAATAGACAACATGCAGTAGTTTAACCGCTTACTAGACTAGTGTACTAGTTAACACATTCCCTAAATCTACTATAGCGTATAATATGAAAATGTTCTTATTTCATTTATTATATCTTAACTTTTAGAGTAAATATATTATTATGAAAAAAAAAAATATATATATATATATATATATATTTAAAAATAGTTATTTTAAATAATTATGTGTATAGACACACACACACATATACAATTTTTAATTATATATTTAAAAGTAGTACGTCGCAAATTGATTTATAATGCAAACTACATTACTTTTAATAAATTGCCCATGATGTTGGTCGATTAGATCGCAGTTTATCGATTGTATCGCAGAAAAATGGTACTGCCATTTATTTTAATTTTCTTTATACATACATGACATATTGCAAGAATTAAATGCCACGACCTGACCTTTATAAAATGTTTCATGTGTCCTTCTAATTTATTTTTTTTTTGTATATCAATAATGTAGTTACATTCCTTTATCGGCCAGTGCAATATAAAAAAAATTAACGAATTAAATTTTTATTGAAATTAATTAAGAAATACAAGTTATCTATTTTATAAAGTATATATTTGCCAATATCTATCAAATTAATCAGCAACTTTGTTACTATTGAGGCATTAAAAAAGCTTAGTTATATATATTTTGTTTGATATTTAGAATGTATCGCTGCGAAACAATAATAATAAAATATAACATATGTTGTTTATATTTTATCAATTTATTCACATACACAAACTTTCTAATGGTAAAGTATATTTTGTATGTTACAGAATATTAATATTGCAAATACAAGCGTAGTTTTTCGCGTTGAATAAAAAGACTTACATATTTTAATTACTTTATATGAGTAATTCATAATAAACAAATAATGAGAAATATAGATCAATTTAATGCTTTTTTTATGAAAAATGAATAAGGATTATTTAGTTTAAAAATCTATAACGCTATTAAATATAAGCTTTAACTTCTTAAAAATTTAATAGCTATGATTATCTTCTGTTAACAGATTGAATGATATGTTTAAAGCGAACATGAGTTATACACATAAAGTAGAAGATCTTGGGATAGAACACGGTCTAACAGTCGTACTGGATCCATTTTTGGATGATTATTTTTATCCCATAATGCCTGTTGAGGGTTGGAAGGCAAGTAAAAGCGGTTTCAAATATCATTTAAAAAGACCAATTATCGAGAAAACCAAATAGTGACTTTTAATATTTGACATTTGCCAGAATGATTTCATTTTCGTTAAAAATAAATCTGCTATAAAAATAAATTTATTCATTACTCATGCGAGATTAAAATCGCTAGCAAATTTCTGGCAAATTTATTCTTTTTTAATTAACCAAAAAAATAATTTTGTTTAGTTCACATTGTAAGAAACTACACAATTATTACAAAATATTTCACTTAATTGGATTAACATGTTTTTATTATTGATGTAAAAATTTTGTCATAAACTATTGTTATTTAAAATAATTACAGAAGAATTTCACAAATTAATTTATGGTAATTCTATTAAATTGTAGAAACTTAATTTTTTTGTATGTATCAAATAAATTTTTGTAGAATAATTTTTTCAAATTATTCTTAATTAACTTTTAAAATTACATTTGAATATTTAAAAAGTAATACACACATATATATATATATATATATATATATATATATGTATATAGTCTAAATATTATATTATTTCGCAAAATCAAATTAAGAATATTTTTAGTTTTCTGCACACAAATCTAATATACGTATAATTTAAAAAATCTCTTGTGAAATTATCTGAAAATATCTTCATCTATGTGAACTGCGAAAACGAACCATATTTAACTTATAACGAGTTATTACCACAAGTGTTGAATATGAAAAGGGGTTAATCGAGCGAAATGAAGATTTATTCTCTCAGTGTTTTATCATACCAAAGTAGCGTTAATGTTCGATTTTACATCAAAGTATCATAAAATATATTCATGTTTTGAATACATTTGATACACATAATTGGTAAATAATAGCTCACTCATTATGCATGGTAATTGTCTAACGATTAATTAGTTTCAAGAATAAAGCTATTGTTATGAAATAATATATCAGTGTTATATTTATACAAATCTATAAAAGGAAAAATGAAAAGAAGTAGATTGTAAAATCTTATTCTTTATTTATTTTCAAGCTATTGCAAAATTGTACTTAATCAAGCTGATATTAAGATTATAATAGATAATAGAATTGATTAATTTGATTATAAATACTACACTTGGATGATAATAAAGATATTGAGATAAAAACATTTAATAAAAAAATTATTAAATTATAATTTATAAAATATTAATATAAATATTAAATATAAATATTAAATTATATACCAACTTCAAGAAATTAATTTAAAAAATTAATTTAGTTAGCAAAAAAGTGCAAGAGATTTAATATACTCCATACATTATAAACGAACTTTTTTCAATATCATTTTTAGACAAGTAATTTTTTAATCATTATAATGTTTGATACAGAATATAACAATTTTGCATATTAATTAAGAAATAATTAATTAAAAAATATAAAATATATATCATATGCATTCAATATATTTCAATTAAATTATGGTATTTATCAAATCTATTCTTGTAATAAAGATAATCTAGTAGCTACATTGTGCCTTGAACGTTTTCCATACTTACTATGTCATTATAAGCCACTTGTGCTTCATTCTCCCATAATGCAAAGCGATAAAAAACTCGCAAAAGTCATTAGCAGTACGATATAATCGCGCGCGTCCTTCACTTCATATTTACAGTGTAGTCTGTTGTTAGATTATAACGGCCCTTTATAAAGAATTCATATTTTCCGTTACGTGCTAAAAAATATTATTTTTGTCGTATATTTTCTATTGAAATTTAGCTGCATCGCAAGATCAACTAGATTCTTTAAAAGAATATTTCAATAAGCATGATTATTATAAATTTATATATATATTCTTTTTTTTTAAATCATAAAAGATTATCTATTATTTTCAATTTTATTTTGATTAATGTTAAATATATAGCAATTATATATATATAATCAAAATCAAATGTTTTTACATCAAAATTGAACTTTATATAAGTCTTAGTCTCTTTATATCAAATAAATCATATATAAATAATTATTATCTATAATTATCATAATATATAGCTTGATACATGTGTCATTCTATAAATATTTTATTAAATAATTTTTTTAAATTAAAAATATGTGTACATATTTCTCTCTATAAATAAAAATCAAAAATCAAATTTAATATCAACTGATTATGTGTTTGCTATTAGTTAATTTAAGGAGATTTGATTTACAACATGCCAGACTTATGTATAAAATATCTTTTTAAAATATCTGATATAAATATTTTGAAAACATTAACATACCTTAAAAATTTCAAAATAACTAAAACAAGCTATTTTTTATATTTTCAATTAATTAATTTTTTATATTAATACAAACTTTTCGAGGTTTGCTTTTGCACTTTAGTAATAAACATCGAAATATTTTTATAATTACATACAAGTGCAGCAAGAAATAGCATGACTTCATTATAGCATTTTAAGAAATATCAGTGACATATTAAATAATTAATACAGAAATAAATCAGTATATTACATAAATTATAATGTCTCTTTGCATAGCATAGTGTAAAAAGAATATGCAATCTAACGTTCTAGAAATTGTGAAATTCTTCCAAAAAAATGTGATTGAATAAAAAAACACATTGTATATAATGTTTATATTAATATGTTACGAGTAAATCTTATGTATAAATGTTTTGAATGAATTATTCTCACATTAAACTCTAACGATCATCTGAATATAATTCAATGACGTCCTATTTAATCTAACCAAATAATACCAAATAGGAAATCGGATATTATCCGAGAAACCAAATATTCTCGAGTATTTCGTTAGCAAACATAACAAAAATGATACTATTTAGTATTATTATACCTCCTATAATTTGCAATTGCATTTCTCATCATAATTTATTATATCAAGTATTCTATCAAAAAAATTTACTAGAATACACAAATTAGAAAGAGAGAGAGAGAGAGAGAGAGAAAGACAAATAAAAATTTAATAAAATAGATAGAGAAATAGATCTTTATTATATTTTGCAGATTATCGTGTTTAATCCTACCGATTATGCGGATGTATCCAGCGGTGGTGTCACAGAAGTACTCGCAATGCCTCTCACCGAAACGTACATAGATGTAACCGCTACATCTTTTTTCAGCACTAACATTATCAAAAATTTCCCTGTAAATCAACGCAATTGCATTTTCTCGGAAGAGATACACAATGAACATACATTTGGCAAAATCTATACTTACAGTGATTGTATCGTCGATTGCAAGATTCATGACATGCAAAAACTTTGCAACTGCAGACCGTTCTTCATCCCACGTCGTGGCGAGGAAGAATGTCAGTAAGAATATATGTTACTAATATTCTTTAATTTGTTAAACTAACTTTTTATCGCAAAAAATATTTAATGTAGAAATATAAAATTTTATTAAAAATTATTAAGTAATCAAAATTTTAACGTTATTATTTAACGCTATTATTTTTATATTTTATATTTTATATATACAGAGTGTCAGGAAATTTTTTACAGTCCCGAAGTGTGAAGGTAGATTTGTTCAAATTAAGAAGGAAAGCATCCTATACTATTTTGCAATATTCGCAATAATTAACGAAAAATTAATTAAAGAAGATCAGCCAATCTGCGTGAGTAAAAGCGCGTGGTGACAAAAGTCATCTCACTGTAATCTTATACCAGGCGCGCGACGAAGCGGTAAGTGGAGAAGGAGTGGTGAGTGAGGCCTGGATTCACGACTCCTTCGCCTAGGGTGCGTTCCGAATTACGCATGAAGCGCGTAGACTGTATAGAAAATCATTCCGATTTGATCAATACGCACATTGGTAGCGCTTTGATAGCACAGACATCTATATATACACTAGACTGCTAACTCCACTGAAATACATGGTTCTGAAAAGTATGTACAGAATTCTTGCGCATGCATGAGACGCAAAGGAGAATATATGCATACGTATATACGTGTGCCAGCAGGTACTCACAGCATCTATATATATATTATATATATATATATATATATATATATATATATATATATATATATATTTGCACGTACCGGTACACGCAATTTATTCTATACATTCGAATAATATTCATAAATAATATGTTTTTCAGTCTTTTTTGATTATATATATATATATATATATATATATATATATATATAGTAAATTATATAGTAAATTATTATAAATAAATACCTACATATTTATCTTATGAAAAATGGAAAATAGTTTAAAGAATAAAAATTTGTGAGAAATAAATTAAAAATATATAAAATAATTATTTATTTATTTATTATTTATTTTACTACATAAAATGATGATCGAATCGTAAGAAAAAAATTTTTTAAGTATATTCTAAATTTTATGTTTACTTTATTAAATTGTTTACTTTATTAAATTTTGTTTATTTTATAAATTTTATATTTACATTTTTTATGTAAATTTAATTATATCTCAATTTTATATACATAATATTCTATAATAGAAGTAAAACTTGTTAATAGGGAAATAAAATAAATATAAGTTTAGTAAAAAAATAATAATTTTATTAAAGATGTTTTACACATTATTCTCTATAAAATAAAATGTTTTGTTAATTGAAACTTTTTTCTACAAAGTTTGAGAATTTCTTGTAAATAACATTTGACATAAGACTGTAATCTTATTTTAATGTATCGAGAATGAATTAAAATTAAAAAAGTTGTTTATTCTCTGTAAAATAAAATTTGTTTTGTTAATTGAAATCTTTTTCTACAAGGTTTGAGAATTTCATATAAATAATATTTAGCATAGGAATGTAATCTTATTTTAATGTATCGAGAACTAACTAAAATTAAAAGTCGTATTTTATAAATATTCTTTTCATTTATTCGCATGTATCCATGTGGTGCATCAGCCATACTAGATGATATCATCACGTGATCACATCACATGATCATTTGTCCCCCTTACGTAATACATGACATTTGGAGACAACTTTTATGCACGATATACAGGGTGATTTCGAACAAGCGTTACTCTTTAAAGTGTCAAATTCTTGAATTAATTCTAAGACGATTTTCCCTTTATCAAAATTTTCTACGAGGCTTAGTTTTTAAATTATTAAAAAAAATAGTTTTCAAATTACGGAACGAATAGAGATAGACAGGGACGGCGGAATTCACTGTCCGATGCAAGCGATCATGTGGGGCACTCGACGCGATCAGCTGATTGCTGCACACGATGAGTGTAACAATCAGTGTGTGTGTGTGTGTGTGTGTGTGCGCGCGCGCGCGCGCGCGTGTGCGTGTGCGTGTGCGTGTGCGTGTGCGTGTGTATAGCATAATACAGAAATATATTGCTACTGATAAGGAAAACATCCATTACAATGTATCATCTCCGAAGGCTATATCATCTTTGTGTGTGACTCATACTGAAACACTAGACTTGACTACAAAAGCTGAAAGACTGTTAGAAGATATCAATAATAGATCATCTACACCTATAGAAGATGAAGTTACCTTGTGCTCAAACTGGCAAACATCTACAAAGATTATACACAATCCTCGTTTCGTTAATGAAATCAGAACACCACATTTAGGTACGCCAAGGAAAGCCCGAAGGGCTTTGCAATTTGTAAAATGGACTATTATACAACAAAAACAAAAAATAAAAACTCTGCAGCAAGCTCGAAATAGATTAATCGCTCATGTCACGACGATGAAAGGTTTAATTAAACATTTAAAACAAAAGAATTTACTATCTGAAGCAGCTACGGATTTCATACACAAAAAATATATTAGACGTGAGTTTACAAAATTAATCCATTTTAATCATCAATAAAAATTGTCTTATATATTAAATTGTATATATTAAAATTTATTTATCCCTTTATCATCCTAATATAATAATCCGTTTACCATTCTACTAAACTAAAATAATGCACTTTATATATTATACAAATATATTTATATTCTAATATAATGCCATTTATAATGCTTTGGCATCTGTTACTCATTTCAGCTGAGATACACATTATTTGGATTCCGTAAAGCTCATATGCGCGTATTTTTCTACAATAAACGTTACGTTTACTGTAGAAAGTGAGCGCATATGCACTTTACGGAACGCAATCAGCCATTGTAACTTATAGCATTCATAATGTATTTGACGCATGCGCAAAGAGGACGAGTATCATTCTATACTTTTCTCTCTCGCACAGACTTTGGATACACTTTCGGTGCTGGCATTCCTCCTCCATGTCTATATACTCAAAGCGACCGATGACAAGCAGGTCAGGTTAGTACTAGCACCTCTAGCGCTGCCAAACATAAACGTATAGCATTACGCGCTACCGTGTGTCTTATAATCAGCTGCAGCTTCCGCATTGTGAATGCGATAGTTTAGAAAATCCAAAATCTGTAGTATTCTATTCGGTTTGTGTAAATAATTTATTAATATTTATTTTGCTTTATCTCCTTTTTGCAAGCGAAATGTTCCATGTAAAAATATGTTAGTCGCTCAGAAAAGAGCGGATTATCTTTGGTCGCTCTGAGAAGAGCGGATTTAAATAAATCTGTAATATTATTCGGTTTTTTAAAATAATTTACTAATATTAATTTTGCTTTGTCTCCTTTTTGCAAGCAAAATGTTCCATGTAAAAATATGTTGGTCGCTCTGAAAAGAGCAAATTATCTTTGATCGTTTTGAAAAGAGCGGATTTAAATAAGATTTATAATAGGTGCTCGAAATGAGCACCATCCATTCTAATGCATGCTCTCATGCGTTTCAGTAAATTATTTTGGACGTTCTCCATCATTTTGTCTTCGATGGCCCAAATAGCATGTCATAATCGTGTATCTAATTCGTCGACATCTTCGGGAAGCGTTTTGTAAATTATTTCCTTACAATATCCCCATTAAAAAAATCGAGAGGGTTGAAATCCGAAGATCTTGCAGGCCACCGTATCGGGCCATATCGATCCATCCAACGTCCAGGAAATTACTCGTTTAAATAATTTGTTACAACTCTGGCGTTGTGTGGTCCATCACGTCTTGTTGAAAAACAATCTTGTTTCTGTCTAATAATGGAATTTCTTTTAAAAATTCCGGCAGATTATCTCTTAAAAATTCTACGTATGTTTGGCCTGTTAAAATATCTGGCAGAATAACTGGACCAAGTATGTGAGTTCCCATTATTCCAGCCCACAAATTCATCTTCCAGCGAACTTGGAAATTTCTTTGTCGCGTGACTCTGGGATTTTCTTCGCTCCAAAAATGCATATTGTGTGTATTAAAAATTCCTTCTTGTGTAAAAAACGATTCATCGCTGAATATTATATAAGAAGGAAATCTAGGATTTTGATCCATTTTTCGTAGAAAATTTTCACAAAACGTTCATCTTGTGTGAATCTTCTGCTCGCAAATGTTGCACGCGAGTATAATGAAATGGATGCAACTTTTCCTCTTTTAATATTCTTTGTACAGTTGCATAAGATAAATTGTGTTCTCGAGCAATCACCCGAATACTTTATTCGGGATTATTCTCGAAAGCACGCAGAACTTACTCCGTATTTCGTACATTTCTTACATCGCGATGTCTCCCAGTGTCGTGTTTGTTTAAAAAGACACTGCCAGTTTCGTACAGCCTCTGAGCTACTCGAAGTATTACGGCAGCGGATGTCTTGCTCGATTCGGATTCAATTCTGTGTGTCTTTTCGCAGCTACACGATATTGCCCATGACTGTATTTATACGATCCTCGCAGGGGGTCCATACCCCCTCCGCGTCTTCCGCGACGAATCCGCGACACGCGACTCGCGACTCGCACATAGACTGCTTCTACTCTCGATTTGAGGCAGTTGATGTGTTGATGTGTTTATGCGATCTATGCGTTTCATGTGTAATTCGGAACGCAATAACTGATAACAGATTTTTTGTAACGACGAAAAAACAACAATTATATGAATTTCCAATTTTAATTGAAGAGACTAATGAAATAATAACTTTGTTTTTAAATAAAAATGATATTTAGAAAGCAAACCAAGCTAATATTAATATATTATTTTACTTCGATTTATTATTTTATTATTTTATTTTATTTATATTTATTATTTACTTATATTTATATTTATTATTATTAATATTTATTTATGTTTATATCTATTATTATTTATTTATATTTATATTTATTATTTATTTTTTTATTTTATTTGTATTTATTATTTTGTTCTATTTTTATTTATTTTTTTTACTATTTTACCATTTTTAAATCGTATTAGCACATAGAATGTGCAGACATCGTTCCGAATTAAAGCGCTTCATGCGCATTGATAAAACGGAAGGATTTCGAAGCGCTGCGCAACAGTAATGCAGTCTATGCGTTACATAGGTAAATCGGAACGCACCCCTAGTATAAGGTTACAGTGAGACCGTCTTCGCCGCCACGCGCATTAACCGATCTTCTTTAATTAATTTTTCGTTAATTATTGCGAATATCGCAAAATAGTATAGGACTTTCCTTTTTAATTTGAGCCAATGTATCTTCACACTTTGGGACTGCGAAATTTTCCTGATACCTGTATATACAGTGTGTTATTTTAATCTCTCTAAGCAAATATTTCGGAAAATAATGAAAATTCGAAAAAATGTTTTAGACAAAAGTTGTATGGTTTCGAGGGGGACATAAGATGGTACCATTAGTGTGACCTCGAAGAGTCATCTGAAGGTCACGTGAAGGTCACCTTCAATTTTTTATAAATAGAACTGCCTACTTTTTATTACATATTCTTGCAGCTCATCTCGAGCTTTTCAAAACAGTGTAATGAAGTATTTCTTTATTAAGTACTTTTCGAGTTATGAGACTTAAAATTATTTCTTAATTTTACATAAATCATAAAATATCTAGTAAAATATTCATTTTTCGATTATCTTACCTTAATACTTTTATGTACAAAATAATGAAAGGAATCAATTGGTGTAAATAAAAAACAGTTATTTTTAAGGAAGAAATATATAATTTGCAATTAACAATTACATATTTTTTTTAAAAACAACTATGTTTTTTCTTTACACCAATTGATTCCTCTCATTATTTTGTACATAAAAGTATTAAGGTAAGATAATCGAAAAATGAATATTTTACTAGATATTTTATTGTTTATGTAAAATTGAAAAATTATTTTAAGCCTCATAACTTGGAAAGTACTTAATGAAAAAATGTTTAATTATAGCGTTTTGAAAAGCTCTTGAGGCAAGCTACAAGAATATGTAAAAGTATATAGAATGTTGCGTTTAAAAAGTTGGAGGTGATTTTCACGTGACCTTCAGACTGACTCTTTTAGGTCAAACTAATGGCACCATGTTATGTTTCCCTGGAAACCATACAACTTTTGTCTGAAATATTTTTTTCGAATTTTCATTATTTTCCGAAATATTTGTCTGCGGAAATTAAAATAAAACCCTGTACACACACACACACACACACACACAACACACACACACAAAACACACACACACACACACACACACACACACACACACACACACACACACACACACACACACACACACACACACACACACACACACACACACACACACACACACACACACACACACACACACACACACACACACACACACACACACACACACACACACACACACACACACACACACACACACACACACACACACACACACACACACACACACACACACACACACACACACACACACACACACACACACACACACACACACACACACACACACACACACACACACACACACACACACACACACACACACACACACACACACACACACACACACACACACACACACACACACACACACACACACACACACACACACACACACACACACACACACACAATCTTATATATGTATATGTATGTATCTTGTATATGTATATGTATGTATGTATGTGTGTCTATGTGCACAACGTATAAGGAATTTTAATTAACTAATTAATTAATGACAAATTGATGCAATATGTTTTCTTATATTGATTCTTTAATCTTTTGTGTTGTTTGATCTTTTTATAAAATCTTAAGACGCTTATTTTAAAAGCTATTTATTTAACATATTAATATTTTAGAATTAAATATAGAATCTTAGTAAAATTTATAAAATATACAATTTTTGAATTACTTTCGAGATAAATAATTACATTGCTTTGTGAATAAAAATTTTTATTATTACATCAAACTTTCTTAAGAATTTCTGTTGCATGGCATTTTTAGATTAATTTTTTTTTTAAGTATGCCAATTGGCATCCTACAATCAAGCCAGTCATGCATGATCGTTTTATGATTTTCCTTTGAAGGTGTACGAGATTCAGTATGCTTGTCATCTCAGCGATGAACATACACTATTCTTAATTTATATCCACTTAGCACGTATGACGCAGTGATGGTAGGCCGGGCGACTTTTTCGCGCATGCGCAGTAGTAATCATAGGAAAGCAACGGTGTATCAGATAACGGATTATGGGCGCTGAAGTTTTGGCGGGCAAGCTGAGGTTGGAAAGAAGTCCTGAGTCCCGAGTGAATGTTATAGTATTTTAAAGTACAGGGAGAAAAGTGATTAGTGAAATGAAAGTGTGCTGTTGGTCGCTCGTAAAAATTTTTTAAAAATTTTCTTTCAGAAATTTATTTAAGGGCAATCAGTGACACACCTTTTGCTTCTACTAGATACTTCGTTAACGCCGCGTTCGCGGCACATGCGCGAAAAAGTCACCCGGCCTACCATCACTGGTATGACGTATATATTTTATATTCTTTGATTCTTTACTGGAACAAGTCGGTAGGCTTAGTTCTCTTGAGTCGTCTCAATTGTCCCCTAGTATTTAATAGCCGTACTACTTCAGTGTTTTGATGACTTACTAGGCGTGATTCGTGGCTCTTAGCAACCATTGTTATTTCTTCTTCAACAGTAGTAATGTTGAATATCACTTCTAATATCAGAGTTACGTATGTATCAATGGGCATTAACAATCTCTCTTAGTACTTTGTTTTAAAAAATTTGAATCTTATTGATATTTGACACTTTGCTACAGCCCCAAAGCTGTATACCATAGGTCCATACAGGTTTCATAATTTACTTATAGAGCATGAGTTTGTTATGGATAGACAGTTTGGATTACCGTCCGATTATCCAAAATAATTTTCTTTTGATAGTTTTGAGTTGCTTTATCTTGATCAGGATATGCTCCTTCCAGCTGAGCTTAGCATCAAGAGTCATACCAAAATACTTTACTATGTTAGCATACGAAATGCGCTGTTGATTGATGGTAATTGAGAGTGGAAACTCCCGCTTGTTAGTGAAGTTAATGTGCTGTGATTTCTTTTACTTCCATTTAATTTAATATGCCACTGTTTAGCCAATCTATGATCTTATTAACGGCACTTTGTAATTTATTAGTGGCGTATCGTGTGTTAATTCCAACTGTTAATATTGAAGTGTCATCTGCAAAGGCTATCTTAGTGCCTTTGTATTTTGGTATATCAGTATAAAGCAGATACAAGGTTGATCCCAGAACACTGCCTTGCGGGACATCAGCTGTAATTTTTCTAAGAGTATGCATTCTCGTAGCGAACACGAAAGCATCTGTCTGAGATATAGGATTTTAGCAGTAGGCTGTATGCTGTGGTACATTCGAAGCTTGTGCTCAAGCCCTTTATGTCATATTTTGTCAAAGGCTTGTGCAACAAGAAGATGGCTGAACAGACCCTTATTTTCTGCCAGCGCCTTCTCAATATCCCGGGTTATCCGATGTACTTAGTCTATCGTAGAATGTTTATCGCGAAAACCAAATTGATGAGCAAGAATAAGTTAAACTGATTCAATAAAAGTTTTTCGTATGCTTTGGAGATGATCGGCAGCAAGGAGATTGGTCTGTAGGACGTAACTTCCTCAGGTGGTTTACCAGGCTTTGGGATAGTGACGAGTTCAGCTACTTTCCATTGCCTAGGGACATACCACAGCCTGAACGAGGCATTGAATAGATGTGTTAGTTTCATTATTCCGCAGAAAGGTAGCTCTTTCAGCATTTGTGCTGTGATTAGATCATGGCTGGAAGCTTTTTTTGTATCTAGGCACTTGATGATTTCCCAAACCTCCTTGATACTAGAGTTATAGGTATATCATTATCGCAGTCCCTAACGATGAGTTTTTCTTTTGCTGTCTATCTTGGGTGCGATTCAAACACTTTTTCCAGATGATCCGCGTGAACGTCGGCCTATTCCTGGTTACTTTTTGTCCAAGCATTATTGTTTTTCTTAATTGGTGAAGCACTAAGGATAGAACATCTAATGCGTTTAGCTTCCATAGCGAATAATCGGTATCTTTTTCATCAATAAGGTTCTCGAGATAGCTTGTAATACATGCATTTTTTATGTTATTTAATAGTCTTTTTAGCTGCTGGTTGAGATTATTAAACACATTTTTATTTGCAGGATATCTTGTTTACTGCTATTTCCTCCGTGCTCTTCTTTTGCCCAAAATTAGTTGTTTTATTTCCAGGGAATAATTTTTCCTTGAAGCACGTTGTTTTAGTTGGTTTAGTTCTGGTGTGCTTTTTTTTGCAGCTTGCTGCAGTAGTTCTGTGAGCAGTTTAGCATCGTTTTCAAGCTGCTCCTTAGTTTTAAGCGGGAGAACAATTGAGCATTGAAAACAATTGAGTTTTCTAAGTATTCGCTATACCTTTCTCAATCAGTACTCTTATTAGTGAGCGCGAATGCTGGTGATTTATCACAAACTCATTCAGGGTAAGTATGATAGGTATATGATCGCTAGTGAGATTTAGTGACCCCTTTATCTTTGTGAAGTTGGTTAATATCCCTAGCATATGAACATGTCAATGACATCTGGTCGTTTGTTCCGATCGGAAGGCCAATAAGTTGGGGTTCCTTCTAATAAAACATTACATGATAATGTCTGGACCGCTTCTAGCAGTCTTCTTCTCTTGGTGGTTGTTAATCTCGAACCCCAACATGTGTGCTTGCTATTGAAATCACCGCCAGCCACGAACCGGTTGCCTAAGGATTGCAAGAATTCAATATAGTCCTCCACCATAATGTTATGTCTTGGGGAGCTATATACCGCAGATATATTACATTGAAGTTTCTTAATGTAAATTCTTATAGTTGTTGCCTGTATTATTTCGGAGGAGAAGTTTATTTCTTCATGATGTTTAATATTCTCCTTGATTATTACTGCTGAGCCTCCTCTATATTTATTAGATGAGTGTGAAGTGTGGTAGACTTTATAACCTCTCAACCGAATGACCGTCTCCTTGGTGAAATGAGTTTCGACTATTAAGCAGATATCAATTCTCTGGTTAACAAAGAATAATTCTAGTTCCAAGTTACACTGTACGAAACCATTAACGTTCCAAGCCGTTATTCAAATGGAGCCTGCCATTTTATTTCTTTTTTGGCGTAACACTGTTGCTCACAATTTGTTGATACAGAGTCATAAACATGTTATTAAGTTTTTCTCGCGGTGCCATAAATTGATCAAGTCTTGCCACAAATACACAGTTATCAGGATATTGTATGCTGACTGTTCTAGTTGAGTCTTACCCTCATGAATTGTTGCTTTAACAGCTTTGTTTGCATATGTACTTTCAGTTGTAGTTGCTTTAGATTTGATTTTTTCTGCTTGTCGGGATTGTTGTGTCTTGAAGTTCTTTGATTAAATTTTTTTGCGAGTTTAGTTTCTTCTGTTTTCCTTTTCTAGCATTATCCCTTAATCTTTGTAACTCTACAGCCACCATACAGCCTCTGTAGTTTGCAGTGTATTCTTGTCCACAGTTAGCACATTTCGGCTCAGTAGAGCGATCTTTTGTACAATCTTTTGTATGATGATAACCTGCACATTTGACACAGCGTGCCGTTTTGTAACAGTTGCTCTTAACATGATTAAATCCTTGACATGTTTTGCATTGCACTATTTTCTGGTTTCTTCATATATTTCTTCTATACTCACTTTTTTGGTTACATATTATATAATTTAGATTAATAAAAAAGAAATTAAGTACATATATTAAAAGTTTTTTTACATAGAAAGTTTAATTTTGCGTATTTTATTATTTATATATACATACATACATATATATATATATATATATATATATATATATATATATATACAGGGTGTCCCAAAACTCATAATCAATCTTTCAAAGACTCCTGGAATCATTTGGAGACGATTTTCCCTCAACGAAAATGTCGAGGCACTAATAATTTTCGAATTATACGTGATTGGAAATAAGAATTTTTTCGTAAACTAAGCTTTGTAGAAATAAAATATTAACAAAACCACATTTTTCGATTAATTTTAAATAAAGTTTACTTTAGTTGAGTTTTAATTTAAGACTTAATTGCAAAGATATATGATGACAAAAATCGGGAACATGCAAAAAATGATGGCCTTCATCGACATTTTCGCTGAGGAAAAATCGTCTCCAAATAATCCCAGGAATCTGTCTTTGAAAGATTGATTATGAGTTTTGGAACACTCTGTATATATATAAGTAATAAAATATTACACAATATAATATATAAGTAATAAAATATTACACAATATTAAAATTTTTATATGAGTTTTATATGAGAAAAAATTTTTAATTTTTTCAGTTTATAAATTACATTTCTTGAGAATTCACGAAATCCAACTTTAACCGACTTATAAATTTTCCAAGCTTTGCAAATTGAAAGTTTAATCGTGCAATTTATTTTTGCTGACATTTCATTTCCTAAAATTCAAAATACAACTCATAAATGATATTTACAGTCGTTTATTTGAAAAGCATATTTGATAAATAATTGAATAATAATAAGAAAATATTGTGTCAAATAAAGGAAATGTTGTACAACTTATTACTTTTGATTAGAAATACAAGATTCTCCAGATTTATATTAAATTTTTTATTTAATTTTGAATTTTTTATATATTATAATATTATAATATATTAAATATAAAACAAGTAAAAAATTAAAATTTTTAAAATTTTTATGTATTCAGATGCTATTTTTATGTATAAAGATATAACAAATTAAAGAATTTCTAGAAATAAATGTACATAAAAAAGGAATATTAATATATTTATTACTTTTCACTATTGCATTGATAATGTTTGCTAGATCTATTCAATAATACCATTAAATATTAGAGAGATACATTAGAGAGATACACTCACCATAATTATATCCTATCAATAGAAGCTAGCGACAGAATATTTTACATAATAACCGCGAATAATACTTTATTTATCTTATTTGCTTTATTTATAATATTTTATTTATCTAACATATGACATCAAATCATGTGGTTGAAAGCCCTGACAAAATGGTTTTCTTGATTCTAACTTGATCGATCTTAATCGTATTTCCGAGCGACGAACGAGTTTAAATGTTAATAGAACGAGTGGTAACATCTCTCTCTCTCTCTCTCTCTCTCTCTCTCTCTCTCTCTCTCTCTCTCTCTCTCTCTCTCTCTCTCTCTCTCTCTCTCTCTCTCTCTCTCTCTCTCTCTCTCTCTCTCTCCCCTCTCCCCTCTCCCCTCTCCCCCTCTCCCCCTCTCCTCTCCCCCTCTCCCTCCCCCTCTCCTCACCCCCTCTCCTCTCCCCCTCTCTCCCCCTCTCTCCCTCCCTCCCTCCCTCTCCCTCCCTCCCTCTCTCTCTCTCCCTCCCTCTCTCTCTCCCTCTCTCACCCTCTCTCTCTCTCTCTCTCTCTCTCTCTCTCTCTCTCTCTCTCTCTCTCTCTCTCCTCTCTCTCTCTCTCTTTCTCCCTCTCTCTCTCTCTCCCTCTCTCTCTCTCTCTCTCTCTCTCTCTCTCTCTCTCTCTCTCTCTTTTTCTCTTTTTTTTAAACTGTCTACTTTTGCGAGATTGTGAACTACAGCTTTTATTGGCATTTTTATGTGTTTTACTGTAATATATTGGGTTGGGGAAAAAGTTTCTTCGTATTTTATTGCAAAAATGAAACAAATTTTATTCATATTTGAAATGAAGCTTATGAAATTAAATATGTGCCATTTTGTTCGACCACCTTTTGCCATCTTTGAGGTAAAACCATAATCCCGTCACTGTAGAACTTGTGTGATTTCTGGGCGAAAAACTGTGACAAGTGATTTTCACAGGCCTCTCTTGAAGCCAACTTTGTACCATTAAGAGAGTTCTGTAGAGATCGAAATAAATGGTAGTCTGATGGTGCAAGGTCAGGACTATAAGGTGGGTGCATCAAAACTTCCCAGCCAAGTTCTCTTAATTTTTGACGAGTCGCTATAGATACATGAGGTCTCGCGTTGTCGTGATGAAAGACGACGCCTTTCCTATTGATCAATTCTGGTCGCGTTTTCTCAATTGCCTGGCGTAATCTTTCCAGTTGTTGACAGTAAAGGTTAGAATCAATTGTTTGACCGGACGGCAGCAGCTCGTAGTGAACGATTCCTTTGTAATCCCACCACACACTCAGCATCACTTTTCTTGGCGTCAATTTTGGCTTTGTCACAGTTTGCGGAACTTCATTTCGCTTTGTCCACGATCTTTTTCGTACATTATTGTCATACGTGATCCATTTTTCATCGCCTATTATGAGCCGTTTCAAAAATGGTTCGATGTCGTTTCGTTTTAACAATGATTCGCAGATAGAAAATCGATCCATTAAATTTTTGACTGTTAAATCATGTGGCACCCAAACATCGAGCTTTTTTTTGTATCCAGCTTTCTGCAAATGGTTTAAAACTGTTTTGTGGTCGATGTTCAGTTGCTTACCGATTTCGTGACTGCTAATATGCCGGTCTTGTTCAATTATTTCCATAATTTCATCGACTTTTTCAGTGATCGGTCGACCAGAGCGAGGTGCATCTTTGACGTTAAAATTTCCAGATTGAAAACGCTTGAACCAGCTTTGTGCAACACGTATTGATACAGCATCATGTCCATAAACATCACAAATTTTTTTAGCTGCCTGAGTTGCATTCTTCCCTTTTTTAAAATAAAATTTTAAAATGTATCGAATTTCTTCTTTCTCTTCACTCATTTTCAAGATGCAATAACTTTTAACTGAATAGATAAATATCACTACTTTTTTGCTACTTTTTCTTTATGATATGTCACCTTTCAAACGCACACAAAGTATTGACAGATCCGATTAATATTATCAAGGTTATGCGATTCTAATTCCATCTGCCGGAAAATACGAAAAAACTTTTTCCCCAACCCAATATTAAAAAATATATTTAAAAATTTCACAATATTACTAGTAATTTTCAGAGAAAATCGTATTTTTACCACTTTGCGCTTTTGTTTTCCCTTCAAATTCTTATCTTATAGCTGTCACACCTTTTTGTTCGATGATGCAGTTGAAAAAAGTTAGAGTGATATGCGTATATCAGAAAATGTATGATTAAAAGAAAGAAAAATGGCATGGTAATAAATTCTGTGTAAAGTTATTATATAAAACATTGCGAAGATTATTAAAAAATTATAAGAAGATTTGTGTCTTAAAAATAATGACTTTTATTTATCAAAAATTCAGAAATTAATAAAAGAAGAGAAATTAATCTAGAGATGAGCCAATATATTATGATAATTTTATAGACAACGCGTATTATCTTATAAATTCGATAAAATTAATTTTATTTCTTCAATTCTTGTTTTTTCCTTTATACTTTTACAAAATTTTAATCCTTTTTTATGTGTCAATAAAGTTAGAAAAAAAAACAAGAATGCAATGATAGCATTAAATCAATAAAATCCGAATAAAAAATAATATAGAAATATAGAAAAGTATATAAGAATAGAATCATTATATAAATATCAAGATTCCAAATTATATAATTACAATATGTGAACGCATAAATTTCTATTAATGATATGAATTAAAAAATGCAATTAAAATATCAATTTAGATATAATAAAATATGATTTGTAATAATTATTGAGATAGAAACAGTTATGATTGTGACAATTGAAAGAAATGCGTAAGCCGCTACGAACGCGATTTATCTTCACTCAGAAATATTACTTGACGATTTATTTTAATCAGAAAATATTACTTGAGGCTAGAAATAAGATTGAGGAAGGCGAAAATACGCGGTAAGGAGCGTATCTCATTGGATAAATCGGGTTTTTCCCGGTCCCGTGTACCCTCTTACATCCCGACGATTTCTTTCCTCCATCACGAAGTCGAAAGGCATGGGCGGCAATCTGTAAAGGAACATTGCGCGCCGCATTGCGAGGCGTACGCGTTCGCAAGCTTTCTAACGAGGCTTTACCACGGGTGGCTTAAAGCATTAAAGTGGATCACGCGAAGCACCGCTCTGTAGGATTAACTTACCGTAGCCGAGGCTCTCTGTAGCAAAGAAGAGGAACGCGCTAAAAGCCGAGTTCCTCTCTCTTTCTCCCTCTCCCTCTCTCTCTCTCTCTCCCTCCCTCCCTCCCTCTCTCTCTCTCCCCCTCTCTCACCCCTTTTTCTCTCTCCCTTTTTCTATTCTTTCGTTTTAAAGCCGCTCCGATTGCTCTTTTTCTCGCACGTTCTATCGATAGCACAGAAGGTGCTTGGACTCGTTTTTCTCACGGCTGCCTCCTTCGTTCTCCATATTAATCAACAACATGTGCGACAATGTGTATCCCCCGCATGATTTACTTATTTTTTTATCTCGTATTGCTTAAAATATAAGTATTTTTTGCAAACTCTTATTTTTGTACTCACACGTATTTTTTATTTCACACCGAAAATAGATTTTGGCGATAACATAAAATTTTATAAATATGATATAATACAGTGAAACCTTTTAGTTCGTTGAGATTACAAGAAATAAAAGAAAAATTTTGATTATTTTTATCATTACGAGCAATATCTGTAGCAATAATTAAGAATAGGAGTAGAACGAGAGAGAGAGAGAGAGAGAGAGAGAGAGAAATACATAATTTTATCAAAATTTAAATTAAAATATTATATTTTTATTATGAATTATATTTTAGAAAGGAATCAAGCAATATGTCGATATTCAAAACATGTATTAAAAAATTTTTTCACAATTTTAATATTTACAAACAAAAATATAAAATATAATTATAATTACGTTTCTATGTGTATATATATGTATATATACAGGGTCTACCAAAAGTGTGGAAACCCCTAAATATCTCGGAAAATATACGTTTTACAGAAAAGTGTTTCCAACAAAAGTTGTAGGGTTTAAGAAGATCTATATACTGATTCTATCAGTTTGACCTTGGATGGCGTCGTCAAGGTCAGGTCAAGGTCACATTGACTTTTTTAAATGACACCCCCTACATTTGATTGCATATTCTTATAGCTTAATTCAAGAGCTTTCCAAAACACTATAATAATGTTCATTTTTATTAAGTACTTTGCGAGTTATGAGGGTTGAAATAATTTCTTAATTTTACATAAACCATAAAATATCTAGTAAACCATTCATTTTTCGATTATCTTACCTTCATACTTTTATGTACAAAATAATGAAAGGAATCAATTGGTGTAAAGAAAACATACAGTTGTTTTTAAGAAAAAATATGGAATTGTTAATTGCAAATTACATATTTTTTCTTAGAAACAACTATGTGTTTTCTTTACACCAATTGATTCCTCTCATTAATTTGTACATAAAAGTATGAAGGTAAGATAATCGAAAAATGAATGGTTTACTAGATATTTTATGGTTTATGTAAAATTAAGAAATTATTTCAACCCTCATAACTCGCAAAGTACTTAATAAAAATGAACATTATTATAGTGTTTTGGAAAGCTCTTGAATTAAGCTATAAGAATATGCAATCAAATGTAGGGGGTGTCATTTAAAAAAGTCAATGTGACCTTGACCTGACCTTGACGACGCCATCCAAGGTCAAACTGATAGAATCAGTATATAGATCTTCTTAAACCCTACAACTTTTGTTGGAAACACTTTTCTGTAAAACGTATATTTTCCGAGATATTTAGGGGTTTCCACACTTTTGGTAGACCCTGTATATATATATAAAATATCTGTAAAATTAATTTAGAAAGAAAACCGAATTTTTGTACATGCGATTGAAACTGCCTAAAATATCTCTTATATATATATATATAAGAGATATTTTAGGCAGTTTCAATCGCATGTACAAAAATTCGGTTTTCTTTCTAAATTAATTTTACAGATATTTTTTATGATAGATTTATATGTTATCATTACATATACAAAATTTGCACACACATATATATGTATATGTTTTATTCTAGATTCGAAGCGTATTTGTACCAACGTAGACTCAGCTTGTCTAAATAAATACAAATGTAAGTATGTGTTATTTACCAGTATATTATCAATTTAAATTCTCAATGTGTTTTCAATTCTCTTTCTTCATATATGTATATTTTAATTATAAATATTCATATATTATTATTTGCTTTTCATTATACATAATTATAAATTAATTTATAATTCTTATTATATTAATTACAAAATCAATATATCTGCTATATAAATTTTTAAACTCTTTTCTATGATAAAGCTAAATGGTGGACCGTTTTTCCTCATAAGGATAAAAATGAAATTCTTCTAAATAGCGAATGGGCTTTACATTGTTCCGATTGCTATCCTTCTTGCGATGATACTGGTTATGTTGTATTGAGTTCAAAGAGTTATATGTCAGCCGGTGAATATAAAACTGATTTACTGTAAGTATGTTATATCTTTCTTAATATGAAAAATACTTTATAAACACAAAAAGAAAAATATTCTGAATATCAATTTAAAAAAAAATTAAAATAAAAGAAGAGAATTCTATTTCAGATCGAATTTCAATGTCACGAAACAGGGTATACTGCATGTTTTCTTCACGAAATATGGTTCTATCAGATTGAAACAAGACTTGCTGTATTACTGGTATGACCTCCTAAGTAAGTACATTGACAAAAAAATTTCAATTTTGAGTGGGAATAGAATAGAAAAGTTTTAATTGTGAATAAATTGAAATTTTAAGATACATATTTAATATTTTTGACATATTTATTGTAAAATAAGATTTTTTTAAAAAAGATTATAAAGAATAATTTAATATTTAATATCAAATCATTATCTCAATTGAAATATAGATTGTTTTATTCAATTGATATTCCATCTCAGTGAATCTTATATTATGCATTTATAATGTTATTCGCTTTTTTATGAAATATATTTCAATTAATAAAATTTCTTTAACAAAAATCACACAGAATTATATAAAAGTTTTTAAGATAAATAAAATTGATAGAAGAAGAATATTCATAGAATCAAATTTTATATTTATTTATATTTATTTATATATTTATTTTTATATTACAAATTTTATAATTTTATTTATGAATTTGGAATCAGTACTATTAGATATTAGATATTGGATATTATATTATAATTAGATTTTTGAACAAATAATTCTATAGATTTTTGATTTTACAATACTTAATTAGTATAGTTGCATGTCGCTAAGCAAACGATAAAATGTCATTGCATTTGTTATGTAAATTAGCAATAGGAAAATTCTTTACGCAATTAATACAAAATATATATGAAAAAGACAACTTATAAAAAATAAGTAATAAAGTAATGTAGAAGAATAGCTTTATTTGCTCGCGTATTCTGCAAGATATCCGAAGATAATCAAAAATGAAATTTTAATATCCAACGTATGTATCGTTTTCTCGTTCTTTCTGATTCTTCGTACCAAAAAAAATTTTTTTTCTCAGAACGCAATTTTCAGTTACTAACACTCACTTTGCGAATAAACTACTGAGGCGAGAAATATATCTTGAAGAATTTAATTTTAATATACAGAGTGTGCCAAAAGTCCTGGACTGATCGAATATTTCATAAACTATGCACTTTAGAAAGAAATGTTTCAGACAAAAGTTGTATGGCTTGAAGGGGGCCATTAGATAGTGGCAATAATTTGACCTTGGAGAGTCAATTGAAGGTGACGTAAAGATCACCTTCAATTTCTTAAACGGAACCTCCTATTTTTTATTACATATTACACTATAATAAAGTATTTCTTTATTTAGTACTTTTCGAGTTATGAGGCTTGAAATTATTTCTTAATTTTGCAAAAACCATAAAATATTTAGTAAAATATTCATTTTTCGATTACCTTAATACTTAATACTTTTATGTACAAAATAATGAGAGGAATCAATTGGTGTAAAGAAAACACATAGTTGTTTTAAAAAAAATATGTTGTTAATTGTTAATTGCAAATTACATATTTTTTTCTTAAAAACAACTGTATGTTTTCTTTACATCAATTGATTCCTCTCATTATTTTGTACATAAAAGTATTAAGGTAAGATAATCGAAAAATGAATATTTTACAAGATATTTTATGGTTTATGTAAAATTAAAAAATGATTTCAAGCCTCATAATTCGGAAAGTACTTAATGACAACTAACTTAATTATAGTGTTTTGGAAAGCTCTCGACATAAGCTGCCAGACTATTTAATAAAAAATAGGGAGTTCCATTTAAGAAATTGACGATGATCTTCACGTGACTTTCAAATGACTCTTCCATGTCAAATCATTGCATGTAAAACATTTCTTTCTAAAGTGCATATTTTATGAAATATTCGACCGGTCCGGGACTTTTGAAACACCCTGTATATTTTTGATGATTTATACATATTTTGAAAATCAGAAAAAATTTTTAATTTCTATTTTTAAATAAATATTAATTATTACTTTCATAAATCTAGCTACTAAAATATAGTATAGTATCACGTATTTGATCTGTAAGATATTGATTAAAGAACAGCAGTCTTGTAAAGAAGGAAATAGCGGTGAGATATCGTTGTGAAAGTCTATTATCGTTTTTACAGCGTAAATCGCTACTGCGCGTAACGTTTTTTATCCTTTTTAGTATGACATTAAAAAACAGCGGCCGTTTCGTCGGATCGTCTTATCTTTCCACGCTATCAAAGCAGTTATGTCATAAAGACTGGATATTTTGCAGGCGATATTGGCGGTATATGTGGTGTCTTCATCGGCTTCAGTCTCATCAGCGTCGTGGAGGTACTATATTTCCTCGTTCTCATATTTCTCGATTTATTCTGCGGAAAATCAGCCTTGCAGGAAGACGACAATCAGGAAAAAGAGACTAAATCAATTCATAGTCCGACTATACAAACAATTTATTGGAATGAGTTATTACCACGATCTTGGCAATCGGCGAACTTTTCTAACAATGGTCAGTTTTTTAATAACAGGCCTAGATAATGATACAGCCGGCGAGCTATCATGAAACTATTCGGAAAGATTTCCAATCGAAAACGAAACGGTTCTGTTTTTTGTCAATTATTCTATCGTGGACGTTCAGATAATACTCGAAATGATCGGGTAATTTCTGACATCTTGCGAACGAGTGGAAAATTAGTCCTAATCGGGACAAAGTCTTTGACGAAGAAGATTGCGGAAAATCATTACCGTTTGTTTCGGGTGACAGTTTCAAGTGACAACAATAAGTGAGTTCAAAGAAAATTCATAATTGAGATTCAAGGATACAGACAGAATCATGATCTTGCGTTTCCGATAGGAATTGTAAATAGTTTCATAATAGCTCCCGTGATTATGACAACCGATTGATTGACGAGGTTTTAATTTTTCTCAAATTGTATTATTGTAATTAATTTTATATTAATATCATTATGTGTGTAAAAAAATTCTACATTATTATAAAATTCTACATTGTTATAAAGAGCACAAATTAATTTTATGCACTAGATTATCATAGATTAATAAATATTTCTATGGCGTTCAAATTCTGAAACAAAAAAATCGATATTATATAATATGAAAATATGTCATAGTAGAAATCTGTGTAGAAGTTTGGTAATCAGTTTTGCATAATTAAACTATATGAAATTACCAAAGATTCATTCAAAGGATTTTAAGTTTGATATAAATTTTATAGACAGATTTTACAGAATGACATATTTCTTACAAGCGTATCAAATTTTAATAACACATTTTAAATTTAAAATTGCTTTTTACTTAATAAAACTTGATGAGAAGTCATTATTCGTTACAACGAATAATGACTTGTTATACGTATATTTTAGCAACCTAAATATATCAAAACATAACAATTATAGCTATCAAACACAATTTTAGACGAGCACAGGATTGTAAGAAATGATTAATTATATAAATTGATGCAATTATTATCAACAACTTAGAAAGAACTTTATACACTGCATTTTCAACTCGATGGTTGTCACATTAAGGACGATATTGTTGGATAAGACGTTATTAATGAGAGAAGTACTAAACAATGAGGCGGCAGTTGTTTACGAGAGAACATACGGAGAAGCTATAATACCCTTGCTGTAAGAGCATGAATGGGATGTGATAGATACACGAGGCTGCATGGGAATTGTTATCTGCAGTGATGACACTCACCAGAGATCATAATTAATTTCTTAGCTTAATTATTAGTTAGCGTAATTATTAGTTTTTAAGAGATGTTTACATAAACTATATAAAAACTTACATGACAGAACATTTATTGAACATTAAACGAAATAATGTATTTATTAAAACGACTTTAATAGAATCAATCGGAATTCAATTGACATTGCGAAAATGTAACCCTATCTTGCAATCAATGTTGGCAATTTCATATTATTGTAAATAGATTCGATTGTTTGCAAATATTGCTTGTTAGTATTGACTGTGCACGCAATTTCATAAATATTCGTAAGAGATATTCGATTGAATTCTATATATACAGTTGCGGTCAAAATAATAGTAGTGCATATATTATTAAATAAATAATATAAAAATAAAAAAAATTATCACGCCATAATGTATTTTTATTTTTATTTATTTTATTAACTGTGTTACACAGTAACAATTTAATCAAAAAACTGAAACTGATACTTCAATATTATAAGAAAAAACTTAAAATGTGTTCCAAAGTATCAAAATGTGGATGGTCAAAAAAATAGTAGTATTGAACCTTTTACACTAAAGAAGAAACAAAAAGATAATATTAGTTGCTAAATTTAATCCTTAAACAGAATTTCGATATTTTTACATCAAATTAATATTTAGTTCCATATCCTTTGTTGAATATAACTGCAGCACATCGACGCTTCATGGAGTTGACGAGATCTTGACACCTTCCTATAGATATAGAGCTCCAAGATTGTTGCACCACTGTTCCAAAGTTCATTATTATTAGGTGGCTTGTGACTAGCAACCGCGTTTTTAACGTCACACCACAGATTTTCAATTGGGTTGAGATCTAGCGATTGTGCGGGCCACTCCATGACCTTAACCTGATTGTCTTGAAATCACTTTTTAGAGTTTGCTCGTGTGCTTCGGGTCATTGTCCTGCTGGAAGACCCATATCAGTGGCATTTCTTCGCGAGCATACGGCAGCATAATTTCCTGCAGAATTTTCACATAAATGTCGATCCATAATTTCTTTGATCCAGTATATGGGACCAACACCATAAAAAGAAAAACACGCCCAAATCATAATATTGGATCCACCATGTTTTACCGTTTTGGTAGTGAATTTTGGATTGTATTCGGTATTGGCCGTCTAACGTAGAGTCGAGACCCCTTTCTACCATACAACACAATTTTATTCTCGTCCGACCACAAAATATTTCTTCATTTCTCTTCTGGCCAAGTCTAAATGCTCCCTCGCAAATTTCATTCTTTTTGCTACATGCTTTTTTGTAAGAAGAGGTACTTTTCTTGGATTGTGAGCTGCTAAGTTATGTTCTCTTAAACGTCTGCGAACAGTTTCAAGGCTTGCTTGTACATTTAGATTATTTTTTATTTGTGTTGCTGGCATAAATGTGTTGCTTTTAGAGTGTCGAACTACTCGTCTGATTAACTTCGGCGACATTGCCGGCTTGCATCCACGTGTCTCGGATTTTGATTCGTATTTTAAAGCATTTCGGATCATTGTCGGGGAGCAGCCTATATAATTATGGATTTCAGCGTAGGTTTTACCCTCCAAAATTAACTTTTTTATAAGGTCGCGCTTTTTAGGGGTGCAATGTTTACATCGCCCCATTTCTATAAAAAATATTATCCCGATTTCGATATTATGTCTTAAAGAACTAATCAGAAAATTCAGTACCTGATTTTCCAACAGTTTTAAAGCACGCAATTTATCAGATTTTGTTTTTATTACAAAAATTAGTTAAACACTACTATTATTTTGACCACACAAAAAATCACCACACTCCAAAGATAGAGGAATTGACAATAACTACAGCAAATTATCGTGTTTACAATCACTTGATCCAAGAGTGTTTTTACAATATAACTGTATTTAACAGTAATGTCTAGTCAAAAAGTCGAACAAAAAGAAATCGAATAATTTATTTATACTTATTCCCGCCACTACTATTATTTTGACCGCAACTGTATGTAAAATTTATACAATATTTTGTTACTATATTATTCATAATTTTTTGTATATATCATGAAGCAATATGAAATTTTAAAATAAATTTTGAAAAGAAAACTTTAGAGAGAGAGAAAAAGAGAAGAGGAATATGTTATAATACTATATGTCAAACTACTGGCAAATTTTATATTAGCATCTTATATAATAGCGAATTCACACAGATCTAATACAGTTATTGTAGTATAGAAATATAAAGATAGCACACAATTATATATGAATCTCTCTTTTATTAAACAATTTCAAATTCATAACAAAAAAAGTAATGAAACATCCGAAACATGTATCGAGAAATCCGAGACTTACATTATTTTACATTTTCTAAGTTTGAAATTAAATTAAATTAAGATTAAATAGACGAAGGAGAACAAAATAAATTAAAGTGCTAAAAAAGAAGACGCGTAAAATATGAAAAATATGAAAAAAACTATTGATTATTATGAATAACATTCTTTATTATTACTATTATGAATAACATCTTTTTATCACATTTTGAGATAAAAAGATGTTATTCATAATTGCGCACATTTTATTGTTTACATAATATATTATGACTTTAAAAAATGTTTAATAATATTATAATTGAATTAGAATTTTTAATAATATTATAATTACATTAAAAATTTAATAATATTATAATTATTAAAATCCTAATTCAATTACATACTTCAAATTCGACATTTAAATATGATAAATGTATGCTATATAATATGCCATATATATATGGCAAATATGGGGATGTGATATTGCAGAAAAAAATAATATATATAAATTCTTACATAATATTTTTAGTAAGCGTTTGTATTATATACAAGGTGTCCCAGACCACCCATACACTCCTTTTAAAATAAAAATTAATGACTTTTGTTAAAAATCGTGAACAATTTTTAAGTAAATCGAGTACGCTTTATCAATAGTGATATTTTCAACTTTTGATTCCGACCGGAAATATGCCATCCGGATCGAAAGTTAAATTTTTTTAGGGGAACATGATACTTTTTATTACAAATTCGAAATGTACGTAAAAAAATAAGAAACTTTTGTATCAACGTTTTTTCTAAAAGTGCCTCTGTCAATCTTGAAATTGACCTTGAACGTAACTGTGATGAAATAATGAGGTATTTCGAGTCGGAATTAAAAGTTGAACATATCACCACTTGATAGAGCGTACCCGATTTATTTAAAAATTATTCGCGATTTTTGATAAAAGTCATTTATTTTCATTTTATAGAGACATATACGGATGATCTGGGACACCCTGTACACACACACACACACACACACACACACACACACACACACACACACACACACACACACACACACACACACACACACACATACACACACACAAAACACCCGTCCGTCACAGGGGTCGTTCTTTATATACATATATATCGTTCTTTATATATACTGTGATTTCTATTTTATTCTGTCTCCAATATACATATAATATTATTATAATTTTAGCTATTATCTTTGATATTTCTCGATATTGTTCTCGATCTTCTCACCTCCGTCTTGTAATTTGCAATTAACAATTACATTTTTTTTTCGAAACAATTATGTGTTTTCTTTACACCAATTGATTCCTCTCATTATTTTGTACATAAAAATATTAAGGTAAGATAATCAAAAAATGAATATTTTACAAGATATTTTACGGTTTATGTATAATAAAATTAAGAAATTATTTCAAGCCTCATAATTCGGAAAGTACTTAATGAAAACTAATTTAATTATAATGTTTTGGAAAGCTCTCGAGGTGAATTATAAGAATATGTAATAGA